AACAGTAATCTGACAAACATTAGCTCCCTGGCCTAAGAAACAGAAAATGAACAGCTTTTCCTAGAAAAGGAAGGCATTAAAAAACCTGAATGACTAGTTCAATAAGAGTTAGCCTATTTGTGGCCACGTTCTCAGTTGGGAGTTTTACCCAAAAGACTCAATCCTTGGAGGAAGAAATGTTCCAGAAACCACTTCAATTTAATTAGACAGAAATGATATACTGTGTTTGCTCTTGAAAATCTGTCGAGAAAGAACTTGGGATTCTGGGAAGACGGAGTAGCAGTAGATACAGGGCAGATCTGTGTATTATAAACCCACTCACATCTCATTTAAACCTCCCTCTACAAATTATGAGGTATATGGTTAAGGTGTAATGAGAAAAAGAGCACTGCTTGTTAAGCAAGGAGGCCTGCCTCCAAGGCTCAACTCTAACCATGTGATCTCAGACAAGTCTATACTACACCCTGAATTTCAATTGTTCCTCCCATGAGAGGAAAAGGCTGAAATCAGTAGCTCCTAAGTCTGGGGGAGGCAAGAATACCTTTTGAGAATGTTGTAAAAGCTAAAAACCCTCCCCTAGAAAATGTAGACAAGCAACATGTCCCCTATAATTTCAAAGATAGTCTCCAGTTAAAAACACACTATTCCTAAGGTACTTTCTTGTTGTCATCCCTAATGATTTCTCTTCCCATTAAAACAAATAAACCCTGCGTCCTGTCTCAGTGCAACCCAAGAAGAGAACATAATCCACAACTTAGTTAGGTAATTAATAGGCCAGTGCCTTCACAGGGTAAGGGTAGCTAGAATTCAAATCAAGACTATGTGGCTACTATGCTTTATTTATTTATTTTGCCCTTAATAATTGACTTCTTAGCCCTTGAGAGTGTTGCAGATAAGCAGTAACTGCAGGAGAGCATCTGTAAAAAATGACATGTAGAATTCTAGCACCCAGAGCAAAACAATTTAGGAAGCAGACCCATTACAACTACCTTGGGGTGGGGGCAGGAAGAGACTACCTTGTTTTTTGCTTGCTTGACTACCCCCATTTTAAGCCTAAGATTATTTTCAGACCCTAGGCCTCAGTTCAGCAATGCCCCCTCCAAAAGGCAGAATAATATAAAGGTAAAAACCAAGGTCTGTGGAAAGTAAAAAAATCACGACTAAGTTACACATTTTTATAGCACCCGCACAGAGCTCTATGACCTTGAGCAGCCTACTTATTCTAAGCCTCAGTTTTCTCTTCTGTAAAACAGGACTAAGGGCAGTAGTTCAAATTTGAGACACTTTCACTGTTCCATCAGATGCGCCTCAAAACCTCGGGTGATAGTCTCTGACAGTTTGTCTAGGGGTCACGGCTTGTCTTCGGGCTAATTCCTTTCCCTCTCGGTTTCAGATGTCCCAAACGTACCGAATGCGGCAGCAGAAGACTAATAAGGCTTACTGGTCCTACTCTGTGGAAGGGACAACAGGGCTCAGAGAGCCGCAGTATCCGGCTCGAGGTCGCCCAGCATTTCCGCGGCACAGTGCAGCGAGGCGCTCGAGGGCGGGACTTACCCTGAGGAGCGTGCAAGCCGCGCGGCTCACATTCCCGGAGGCGCCCGGCCCTGGGGCTCGACGAGGGGGCTGGCCGGCGCAGTCGCGCTCCCCGCTGTCGGCGAGAGGCGGCTCCAGTCGTGACAGCGGCAACAAGGAAGTGGAGGCGAGGGCTCGCGCGCGCATCCCGGGGGCTGGAGGAGCCCCGGCCCCGCGGCCCCGCCCGGCGACACACGGCGCGGAGTCGCGACAGCTCCTCTCGCTCCCCCTTCTCGGAGTCGCGATATAGGGTCGTGGAGAGCGGGTATGGGAGCACAGGCTCGCTCCGCAGGCTCTTCACCGACGCCTGCCGAGGGCCCCGGGGGTCAAGCCCCGGGGAGCCCGAGGAAGACAGCAGGGACACGAGCGTCGCCGCAGCACCGGTTCGGCGGCGGCAGCGGCAGCAGCAGCACACCTCAGATCGCCAGGGAGACCCTTCCCGGCAGCCCTCGCGGCGCACCGGAAGCGGCCGGCTGCGCGTGACTGCGTGCATCCTTTTGCGCATGCGCAACAGTCCAGCCCTAGTTGAGGGGCGGACCCATAGGAACTGCTTAAATGCTTAGAGGGGGCTGATAAGGCGGACGGACTGTTTCCGGCTAGAGGTTCCGGGAGAAGGAGGAAGCTGCGGCCGCCCGCTGTGGGACGCCCAGGCCGCTTAGCCTCGGGGCATTGCCGTAGGGCGCTCAGGTAACTGGGGCGGGGCTGTGCCGAGCGTAAGAGGTCGAGGCCCCGCCTCACTTCTCAAAGCCACGTCGGGCCCTGGGGAGCCCCAGCACCACCTTCTCAGCACAGTGTTCAAGGCCAGGCTCCAGCCCTGTCCAGTCTGTTCCCGCTCGTTCAGCGCAGGGTTCTTGGTGCCGCATCAAGCCGTCCTCCTCACCCAATCGGTCCTTCCCGCCGTCCCACACACAGTTATGCTAGTGAGTTCTGGAGTGATTCAACCTGAGCCGAATGACCCAAGTGGAGAGGCTCTGGAGTCGGACAAGAATAGTAGGCCCTTTTCCCGCCAGTGTCACAGATCGTTCCACATTTGTACAAGCCCTTGCACGACCCTCACTATCTTGCAAATGTATTTTTCCAATCTGCGTACTTTTCTGTATGTGCCACTGTCACCAACCTCGTCGTCACCAGTATCTCCTCCTGGACTGATGGCGTTTTTTCCCACCTCCCCTCTTGTCGCTCTGCAGTCATTTCTCCACACAACAGGCAGATTGATCTTTTTGCACTGTAACTGATCCAGTCGCTCCCTGCTTAAAACCTTCTAGTGTCTTTTCATTCGCTTAGAATAAAATACAAGCTTAGCTTGACCTAAAAGACTTTGGCTTGTCTCTTACTTCATTCTCTTTCCACGTCGCCTCTCGATACTGGTAGTTCCCAGAACAGGGTGTATAGTACTCTGTAGTGTTCAGAACACTGGCTTCGTGCTGAGTCTCCTTGGATTTGCATCCAAGTCCTGCCATGTGTAAGCTGAATTAAGCATGTAAAGGAACAAATTAAGTTTATGAAGTAGATCTTCAGTAATTGGTTTCCATCTCCTCAGTTGGTTCTCATCTCACTAAATGGCACAACCATACATTGGGTTGCTCACTGCTCCAGCCAGAAATCTAGGATTTATCCTTAAACCTTCCCGCACCTGATATCCAGTCCATCAGCAAGATCTGCAAAAATATCGCCCAAACTGGCTACTTCTTACTACATCCACTGTAACTCTAATCCAAGCCACCATTATCTCACATCTGGACTCCTGCAGCAGCCTCCTAACTAGTCACCTGCTATTTCCCTGACACCCTTCAATTCCATTCTTTACATAGCAGTCATCTTTCTCCTTGATTAAAATCCTTCAGTAGCTTCTCTTTGCATTCAAATTAACATATCCCAGCTGTCTGTGGCCTACAAGGCTAGCTTCCTTTCATCTTCAGATTTAGGGCCACCTCTTAGGAAAATGGATTTTTACCCTTTAGGTTCTCCACTTTGCAACCAAAGGACTCCTTCTGAAGTGCAAACCTGATCACATCATTCAAATAAACAGACCTCTGTGGCCTCTTACTGTCCCAGGATCAAGCTAAAATTTTATGATTTGGCTCTTGTTCTCTTCTCCAAAGACTTTTTTTCCTGGCTATACTGTCTTGTTTTCTATAGTACTTGATAGCCTTTGCACATATTTCCTTCTATCTCATGAACTTCTAGTTGTTTGTACTTGAAGGCCCAACATCAATATTGTTTCCTCTTTGAAGTGCACTGCCCTTTCATGTCCCACCCAGTTGATCATCTCCACTGCTCTATTCTAGTTCACAGTACTTTTTAACCGCTTTTATAGTTTTAATGCACTTTAGTGTTTGTCTTCCCGGCTTCCCTGATAGGCTTCTTTTTTTTTTTTCCTGATAGGCTTCTGAATGGTGGGCACTATGCTCCATCCGTCTCTGGATGGCTGGTATTGAGCATAGTGCTTAGCACATAGAGGATGCCAAGAATGGATAGATAAATGTGTGGAGGTGGTGGTAGGAGTCAGCCCTTGCAAAGGGGCAGTCACAGCCTCAGGTCACAGCAGCTTCTCTTGTTCTGTGAGGACTCTCATGATAAAATGTCTTCGCAGACAGTTACAAAAACTGCTTCTGCCTGATCATGGTTATTTCCTTCATAGTCATAGCACACTCTGTAATTATCTTATGTATCTGTTCTCTTTTGGCTCATCTTCCTCCACTGTATTGTATATTTCCTAAGGGCAGGGACCTTGACTGTGTTGTTCATCACTGTATCCTTACCACTTAACACCTATGAACACCAAATGAATGAAACATATTCCCACAGTGAAAATCCTTCCAAGGCAAATAGTAATAGAGCTTTAAAGACCTCATTTTGATGGAATATCAAGCAGGACTATGGAGTTACAGAAATGGCACTAATTCTGAGTCAAGAAATCTGAGGTCTATGAGCTTGGATAGGCCCCTTCTCTGAGCCTCAGTTTCTGTTATAAAATGAGCCAGATAATAATCCCTTTAATTTATACAGTGCACTGCTATTTGCCAACATCTTTTACCATCTGTTTTTTCAATCTATTCCCACAGTAGACAGAACAGACATTATTTTTACAGAAGCTTGGAAATTTTAAGTGAACTAGATTCTCTGTAATGGTGGGCACTATGCTCTGTAAGGTCTCTTTTTTTTCAAACATTCTGTGAATCTGTATAAGTAATCCCTACAAGTCAGTAGTATGAATCCTATTTTCTCTTGACTTTGGCCTTATATTATCATTTCCTAGCAGGATTTTGAAAAATCTGACCCACCTTTTAGAGGGAATCCTTTATCTCTGGTTCCTGACAGGTACTCCACATTCTCTCTCCTCAGTTTTCTACACTTGTGGCAAAACAAGCCTAGAGGAGGGACACACTCAGCCCTGGTAATTGTGGCCCAGCACTCATTCTGTGAATATGGCAAACAAGGGGAACAAGAAGCGTCGGCAGTTCTCCCTGGAGGAGAAAATGAAGGTGGTGGAAGCTGTAGACTCAGGAAAGAGGAAAGGTGATGTGGCAAAAGAATTCGGTATCACCCCTTCTACCTTGTCTACATTTTTAAAGGATCGCACCAAATTTGAAGAGAAGGTACGGGAGGCATCTGTAGGACCCCAGCGGAAAAGGATGAGGAACGCTCTCTATGATGACATTGATAAAGCTGTTTTTGCTTGGTTTCAAGAAATCCATGCCAAAAACATTCTTGTGACTGGGTCTGTCATTCGGAAAAAAGCACTAAACTTGGCCAACATGCTTGGCTATGACAATTTTCAAGCAAGTGTGGGTTGGCTGAACAGATTTAGGGATCGCCACGGAATTGCTTTGAAAGCAGTCTGTAGAGAGGATAGTGACAGATTAATGAATGGTCTAGGAATAGATAAGGTTAACGAGTGGCATGCAGGGGAAATTATAAAACTGATTGCTGACTACAGCCCAGATGATATCTTTAATGCTGACGAGACAGGAGTGTTTTTCCAGCTGCTTCCCCAGCACACGCTTGCTGCTAAAGGAGACCATTGTAGAGGTGGCAAGAAAGCAAAGCAGCGGTTGACAGCACTCTTTTGTTGCAATGCTTCAGGGACTGAAAAAATGAGACCGTTGATTGTTGGTAGGTCAGCCAACCCACACTGTCTCAAGAACGTCCGTTCCCTCCCTTGTGATTACCGAGCCAACCAGTGGGCATGGATGACGCAGGATCTGTTTAATGAGTGGCTGATGCAAGTGGATGCCAGGATGAAGCGGGCGGAACGCCGCATCCTCCTGCTGATCGACAACTGCTCCGCTCACAACATGCTGCCACGCTTGGAAAGGATCCAAGTGGGGTACCTACCCTCTAACTGTACTGCCGTCCCGCAGCCCCTGAATCTCGGCATAATTCACACCATGAAAGTGCGGTACCGAAGCTACCTCCTGACCCAGCTCCTCCTCAAGCTCCACAGCAGTGAGGACCAAGGAAAAGTGGACATCGGGCGGGCCATCGACATGATTGCGGCAGCATGGTGGTCAGTCAAGCAGTCCACAGTGGTGAGATGCTGGCAGAAGGCAGGCATCATCCCCACGGAACTGACAGATTGTGACACAGAAGCAGCAGCCAGTGAACCAGAGGTAGCCATTGAAAAGTTATGGCACTCTGTGGCTCTTGCCACCTGTGTCCCCAACGAAATACATTTCCAGGACTTTGTCACTGCCGATGATGATCTCATCATCGCTCCAGAGCTGATAGACACAGAGATCATCCAGGGCATGGAGGATGCTGAAAATAGAGATGAAGCTGGAAGTGAAGAGGAGGGGGAGGTATCTTTACCACTGCAGCCAAAAATCACCATCACGGAGGCCATCTCAAATGTACAGAAACTTAGACAGTTCCTTTCCACTTGTGTAGGTGTTCCTGACACCGTTTTTGGACAGCTAAATGGAATAGATGAATATTTAATGAGGAAAGTGACACAAACTCTTGTTGACTCCAAAATTACAGATCTCCTCCAAACAAAATAACGTAGGCATTAATTGCCTCTTTTGATTTAGAAAATGTAGTTTATAAGAATAAAGTTTTTAGATAGGTTATTGAACTTAAATTTTAAGCAATATTATAATGACAACATTCCAGTCCTCTGAAATAATCAGGAAACTTCCTTGAATGAAGTTTGACAAATATGTGTGTTATCTTTTGATTAATCAAATGGTCTCAAAAGTTGTCTGCACCTTAGGATCTCTTGAGCATCTTTAAAAAAATTTCTAAAGCCCAGGCCTTATCCCAGACCAATTAAATCACAATCTATAGTTATAGGTCACAGGCATCAGTAGTTTGTGAAACTGCCCAGGTCATTCCAATGTACAGAAAAGTTTGGGAATTGCTGATTTGGCCAAAGGAAAATCGAGCACACGGTGGGGTAGGAGCCAACCTCTTGCCAGTAAGTCTAGCTTAGTGGTTTCCAAATGTTAGCTCACTTCAGAATCACTTGAAAGGCTTGCTGAAACACAGATTGCTGGGCTCCACCTCCAGTTTTCTGATTCAGTGGGTATTAGATGGGGCCCCAAAATTTTCATTCTAACAAATTCCCAGGTCCTGCTGATGCTAATGTGGTCCAGGATCCTTACTTTGAGAACCACTGGTCTAGCTGGATCCTAGTACTTCTCTCTTCAGCCAGCCGGCCATCCGAATACTCCCACTCACTATCAAAAAAGAAAAGAAGAGGGGGAAAAAAGCATTAGCACTTCTTATTCCAGATCTGTTAACTCCTTTCTGCTGATTTGGTAACTCTAGAATCTTCTTAGCTTTTCTCTTGAATGCTGCACCAGCTAGCCAAGTAGTGAGCAGAGGTACATCTGTCTGTGCCCAAAGAATTAGCAGGAACCACCTAGAGTAGGAACACATCTTGTAATGCTTATTAGTCAGAGGGAGCTGGGGCACAGGGGAATACGAGGAGAATTAAAAAGGAGATAGGACACAATGTGGGGGCCTTATATATCAGAAAATCCTGGGAAAGGACATATAGCCCAGTGTACCTCTCACTTTCCAGACAAGGTGAGAGGGAAATCTGTGGGAGAAAGGACACGTGTGACAGGATTTGGAACGTTCCCTATTTGGATTATTCCACTTGTGAGTAATCCAGCCTGGACTTTGTGATTAACATGAAGGCACACTGTTTGCCTTTGCTAAAATTACTTCACCCTTATTCCTTTATGTTTGTCCTGCAGAGACATCTGCTAGAGCAGAGTTGATCTTAAGTTATTTAAAACAAAATAAATTTATAATCTGATTTATATTGAAGTTTTTCTCCTATAAAGAAGGCATTTTTAATATCCTTTATAACCCTAGTATCTGTTTCTAATATGCAAGATGAGTGTCTGTTTCATTTTTAGAAGGTAAATACAAGCATTCAAGAGAAAAGCTAAGTACCTGTCAGTGTTGTAGTGTAGTTCCCCCATCCAGTGCAGATTAATTTTTTGGTTATTTCAGAAACCCATAGAAATTCAGTTATTTTTCTTTCTATAATCATTTAACTGAAACCCATATAAAACAGATTAATGATAGACTGCTTCCGTGTTGAACAAAACAACAATTTTTTTAAAACCCCAGCAGATGTTTAAATGGATTTTTGAAATCTTATTTTGTATATTTTTCATTTTAGCAAACTAGAATAATTTGAACCAAAAGTACTATACATATTTTAAGTCCTTAACACATAGGAGAGGAAAACTGTCTTCTGGCGAAGTCCTGTGGTTCCACGCACTGTCAGCGCCTTTACTGCTGTCATTTTGTGTCAGGATTACTAATATAACTTTGAATTCCTTTGTTCACCTTTCTGCCCCTGAAGTGCATTTGGCACATAATGTTAAATCTCTTGACATCATGCCATTTCCCCTGCCCAAGTGTCTGTGGTGGCTCCCAAATGCCTAAAATAAATAAATAAATAAAAACTGGATTATTCAGTTGAGTTTTAGCACCCTCTAGAGTTGGTTACAACCTGCATTTCCGCTTGCCTGCTCAGTACCATCAGTGCCGCCCCTGGATAAGGCCCTGGAGAGCACACACTGTACTCGTGTGTACTTGCGTGCCTTCACCGGAATACCTCTCCTGCTCTCCACCAAGGCAGGCCTTTCAGGAACTAACTGTGGAGTCCTCTTTCTCCAGCTTTTTTTTTAAAGACTTCAGCACCTGCTCCAGCCTTCCCTCAACTCCTTAGCACTTTTTGTCTCTCTACCACTTACCTAAGCACTTAAATTTTTATCAGTGTCCTGTGGCTCTTTGAGTAGACTGTAAGCTCCAGGGGAGCAAGGACCTTTGTAACCTTAATGGTGCCTAGCACTGTGCTGGGCACATCATAGGCACTTCAATAAAGAGTTGTGTATAAACTGATACATACATTAATGGGTGAACACCACCTTTCTTTAAGGCTGAATGAAGCATTGATTCTACTTGAAGATAGGGTAAGGCTGTCCTCTGTAAAAGAATTTGCAAATTTTTCCATGAATGTCATTGCCTCAACTAGTATTCCAGTCCAGGTTATCTATCATCTGTTCTTTGATAGTGAGGAATTCCAATATATAAAGTTAAGCCTATTTCCGTCCACATAAAGTCATTGTAGGATTTACACACACAAAACTTTGGTATGAAAGGCTTCATTTAAGTGCCTTGCACATAGTACTATTCGGTAAATATGTGCTTAAACTTGTTTAAAAAAAGAAGTCTCACATTCTTGACTCATTTGATGTATCATAATGAATTAGATCCCTATAGATGAAAATCATATCCAAAAGAGAGAGCTTTTACAGTCTGGTTTACATTGGCTGAACAAACCTTTGATTCTGTCAGGACATTAAGGTTTTATTTGTTTGATACTTTTGTTTTCTAAAACTAAAAGAAGATATTATCCCTTCTGAGTTGCCTGTCTTCGTCAGGCCCTCTGTGGCTTCTCCCTGATTCTCTGGTGCCTCTTGCCCCACTTGAGGATTTAGTTTGCCCCAGCTGACCAATCCTCTCTGTAAGCTAGCATTCTGGAACTAGGGACTTACCTCAGCTGAGCTGTTATGAAGATAAAAAATATATACCTGACACAGACTAAGTTCTATAAATGCTATGCCATTAGTACCCATCCCTATTTGAAACTTTACAGGTACTGTCTAGAAGCAGGGACCTCCTTTTCCAGACCTCCCTTTCACTAACAGATCTTGGGGTTTAGTGTTCCAGAACCACCAAGGCTGATCATTAGATAAAACTCAAGTTTTCTTTGCCCTGTTCTTAAGATGGGCTCTTTGATTTAAAAGGGAGGAAGCTAAGAATTGTTGCCTGTTACTTGCCAAGCACCATTTTACTCCTTATCATTTAATCTTGACAATAAATTGTAATGCAAAAGTACAAATAGGCTCAATCAATGTATTCTAAAATTGCCTATTAACTGTTCGTGCTACCAGAGGCCATACTTCTTTGAGGTGAAATGTGGTAGCATATTCTGGCCACCAGAGGGCAGAGAGAGATTACACAATAGAGACAACTGGCCAACCCAGAACACTTAGAAGCAGCCATGTTTAATTTCTCTGACATGGTAGAGACTGAAAAGGAAGACAAGGAAAGATAGAAAAGACATAGAATGTGAGTCCTGTTCAGGCAACTAACTAAGAAACAACTGTGCCTTGGACCACCTAATCCAACCGCATTACACACCTATCCCTTCATCAGAGACTTTTTCCAACGTATTGATAACCACAGGCCATGTAATTGACCCAAGACAGACATGCTCTGTAAATGAACCAGTTTTAGAGAAATAAATATCCACCAAACATATCCATGCTTAGAACTGATACCCACTGCTGGCCACAGAGGCTCTAAGGATGAAATACACAGCCCTATCCTCAGGGAGTCCAGTTAGCAGATGAGATGGAGAAGGAAAAATAAGAGTGGTAAATGCCATTTTTGAGAATATGCAGAGATGAGGTCCAAAGGAGACTCTGCATGAGAGAAGAGGAATTCAATAGGAAATGTTGCCAAGAGCAAGGGACTTTTAGTAAGAAGTATTTGGAAAGAGTAGAAAAGTTTACACATATGGGGCTGGGAGGCTATTCCTGGAAGAAAGAACAGCATATATAAAGGCCTAGGGCAGGACAAGATGCTGAAGATGTAAGCAAGGGCAACTTTTTTTAATTTGGGTTTTTTTTTTTTTTTAAGATCTTATTTATTTGACAGAGAAAGACACACAGAGAGAGAGGGAACACAAGCAGGGGGAGTGAGAGAGGGAGAAGCAGGCCTCCTGCCGAACAGGGAGCCCAATGCGGGGTCTCAATCCCAGGACCCTGAGATCACGACCCGAGCCAAAGGCAGACACCTAACAACTGAGTCACCCAGGCACCCAAGGGCAAACTTTTTAAGGTCTTATTGGCTATAGCATTGATTCTGAACTTACTCTGAAAACACTGGAGAACCACTTAGAAGTAACAAAGGTCTTTTTTTTTTTTTTTAAAGATAATAATCAGTAACTAGTGTGGAGGCTGAGTTGTAGAGAAATAGATTAACTAGGTAGACTGTGGCATAGTCCTGAAGATAAATGAACACTGAGGGCAAGAAAGAGATGTTTGACTTGAGAGTCTTACCAGGTAGATGGATTTGAAGAGGAATATTCTAAAATCTTCCAAGTTTCTGGATTGAGTTGCTGAGTCATGCCATGATCAAGATGGGTTAACAGGGGAAGAGAAGATGAGTTTGTATTCTATGTGAGGTGCCTCTGGGCATCCAGCTGTTACTGGACAGCTCTGGAGATTTATGTACAGACAGATATGCTGGCTGGTGTTCTAGAAAGGCTAGAAATCATGTTTGGCTGCCATCATCACACAGATAACAAATCAATTGAGGACATGGATGTAGTCATCTGGAGAGAGCTTATAATGCAAAGTATTCATGACATGGGGGGCCATGAACCAGCCTCCATATAAATCGTGTGTGTGTATACATACGAATGTGTATGTATTCTTCTCCAAGAAGAATGTGTATGTATTCTTCT